GATCTGACCATGAACAATTCAGGTAATTACAAAAAATTGAAATTAATGGCAACATTCAGTATGGAAAATGAAAAATTATTTTTCTCAAAACGTGAAATTGTTTACTGAGACCCCCGTTAACAACAACTTTGGGTTAAATGAAGACGTTTTGTGAAGTTTCAGACGATTCCAATCAGATTTACAAAAGTTATTGCGTAAACGTCCCCCAAACTGACCACTTTATAAGGCTTCAGTATGGAAAATGAAAAATTATTTTTCTCAAAACGTGAAATTATTTGCTGGGACCCCCGTTAACAACAACTTTGGGTTAAATGAAGACGTTTTGTGAAGTTTCAGACGATTCCAATCAGATTTACAAAAGTTATTGCGTAAACGTCCCCCAAACTGACCACTTTATAAGGCTTCAGTATGGAAAATGAAAAATTATTTTTCTCAAAACGTGAAATTATTTGCTGAGACCCCCGTTAACAACAACTTTGGGTTAAATGAAGACGTTTTGTGAAGTTTCAGACGATTCCAATCAGATTTACAAAAGTTATTGCGTAAACGTCCCCCAAACTGACCACTTTATAAGGCTTCAGTATGGAAAATGAAAATTTTTTTTTCTCAAAAGTCGTTAAAAGTTCCCGAAACATCCGTTAACGTCAAGCGTATGTTCATTAAAGATATTTTATAAAGTTTCTGTAAAGTTCATACAGAAACGACAAAGTTATTGCGTAAATACGGATTCAGTTTTCCAGTTGTAAGGCTTCAGTATGGGAAACGAAATAGAAATTTTTCAAGGAAGATCACAATTTTACCGAATCCCCTGTTAACATGTATACTGGGATTGGAAAAGTTACGTTGCAAGCATTCGGGAAAATCTTCCTAAGAACGAGAAAGTTATTGCGTAAAAATAATTTTTTTCCCGACGGCGAATGTCTAACGCATGGCCTAAGTCCAAATTCAACACTATGATGCTCAGTTCAGCTTCTACAAGACGTAACAACAAAAACGAAGCATACGATAATACACTTACGAAGGTATACTTTAATGTTATTAACATTGTTTTTAACCCTCTAGCACAGATTTCTTATACCGAGCCATTTTAGTCCGAATGTCTAATCGAATGTCTAACTGAATGTCTAATCGAATGTCGTACGCTAAATAGCGGAACACATAGATCAGTAGTTTCAATCTTAAAAAAGCCACTATTTGGATACCGCAATGTTCTTGTTGATGCGGCTTGTTTGATTTCCGAAAATACACTGGCGACGTCCTGGTCTACAATTCTGGAAATTATTTTTCCTAGCAAATCAACACCAGCTACTGCATAGGAACTCCGTAAACTGCCTTCTTCCTTGCGCAATATTCTAAACTCAATCATAGAATGCCACCCCACGTTACGTCTTGCAGGAAAATGTAAATGCCAAAATTTTTCACGTTGAGTTCCCGTCAAACGTTTGGACTATGGCAAAATCTCGAGGAAACTAAAGATACTGGGCCATGAACTTCATTAAACTTGTGGTCATAACTCTCCTGTTATTCTGGATTTAATTATAATCGACTGCTCTTTTCAAAATGTTATATCTTAAGTCTATAAATTTGTGAAATTTTGTTCTTGATACCAAATTCTTTTGTTGCCAGTCCTCCTATTAAGACATTCAAAGTCTATTCACACTGAGATCAGTAATGAATTATAATAATTAATAATAATGGTAATAATTAACAACCGCTTAATGATAATTATGCGGCTTATTACAGTACAGATACAGCTCTCAAAACATATGCAGATTGGTCTCCAAACTTGACATGCAATGTAATATAAAGCGGACATCATTGCTGGAAGGAAATCATACTTTTCTTTGAATTTTTTATAAATCATAGTTAAAAAATTTATCTGATGCAACTTTCTGTCAGATGGAGCACCTCATCCATGGTTTTGTTTAATCTCACCTTGACCTCGGTAAGAGTCAGTGAGTTTGCAGAATGAAAACCAACCACGTATTAAAACCTTTTTCAATAGACTAAAAAGGTTCTCCGTTACTAGTAAAATCGTTTTTTATTGTTCCGAATTTATTCCAATGTACCAATACCAAACGGTAATCCAGGGGTAGATCCAGAGCAAACTTGAAGGAGGGGAAGTTGGTAGTGGGGGCGCTGAAAATTTTCAAAAATTGATGACGAGAGAACGCTGTATACAACAATTTCAGATCCATTTTCGGAATAAACAACATCACTTTGAAGTAACCCTTGAAGCAAATTAACCTTTTAGTCTCAGAAACTTTTTCACCTGATTATTTCTGCATTCTTTAAAAGGGGCGGGCACAATTTTTCCTAGGAGAAAGAAGGGCGCCA